AGTAGGTCACGCAGGAACGCATCCAGGCAGGTTTTGAATGTCTCCAGAGAAGGAGACTCCACAACTTCCTGGGCAGCCTGTGCCAGTGCTCTGTCACCCTCATAGTGAAAAAGGTTTTCTAATATTTTTGTGGAAACTCCTGTATTCCAGCTTGTACCCATTGCCCCTTGTCCTGTCATTGGATGTCACTGAGAAGAGCCTGGCTTCGTCCTCCTGACACTCCCCCTTGACATATTTATAAACATTTATGAGGTCACTCCTCAGCCTCCTCTTCTCCAAGCTAAAGAGACCCAGCTCCTTCAGCCTTTCCTCATAAGGGAGATGTTCCACTCCCTTCATAATCTTTGTGGCTCAATTTATTTATGCTCAATGTTATATTTGAAAAGTAGTCTTATTTTAGGAGGTCAAGACAAATGCAACCTTCCATGCAATTATCTTACTACTCTGCCATTTCCTTCTTCTGCAGCAACTGAGTAGCTCTTTGCACAGAGAGCAGTTCTTACGTGCCCCTACAGATACAAGAGGTTTCTCTTCATGGAGCCCAACTATACTTCCATGCCAAGGATTCAAGGTGCTTTCTTGTTCATTCGTATGTCCAACTGATCACAGCTTCTATCCTTTCTAAATATAACAGGCCCTAACACATCAGCTCTGCCACAGACTTGGTCTGGCAAAGGATCAATAAGAGAAAAGACTCAAAAAGTGGCTGTACTTTAGATGGCTAAATTGCAGTCCTGAAACTCTTAGCTCAGATGTCATTGTATCTCAGAGACATTCCAGGTTCAATTTTAAACCAGTTGCTCTTTGGGCCCAGAAGTTCCTTCTTGAAAGAACTCAGTAGTCTGGCATCTATTTGCTCAACAAAACCTGAAAACTAAACTTACCTTAGGAACTTAATCTAGTATACTTTCTCTAGAAAAGAAACCCCACACAAACTATTGCACAGCTCTTCCACAGAATTTTCTACAAAGTTTAAACGGTGGCACTGTTTCTATCTAAAGGCTTAGTATCCACCAATATACTCGACACGGAGTATATTCAAAGAAAAATGTGGTCCCCTAATCCTAGTAAAAAAAAAATGCTACAGATGCCTAACCCTCATGAGACAGTCTAAGTTATGAATTCTAAACAGCAGGTAGGGTCTCACAGTAGAGCCACATTTGATCCTAAGCAGGCCTCATTTACACAGGTCAAAACTGATAAATCAGTTTTTATTTATGCTATTCTGGCACCTCAAGTCCTAATCCTCCACCAAGGTGCAAAAAGGAATTGAGGAAAAACTCTTTTTATAAATATATCTGTTGGCTTTCTGATATTCACAAACACTTCAGCAATTCAGCATGCTATTCTCCATGGATTTTATTCAACGCTCTCAAAAGATTTTACTTGTAAGCCTTGGTATATAGTAAAAAGTACATTAAGACCTCGACTTGCCCTCAGCGCTATTCTCACCCAGGGTAGCATGCTCATTATCTTCATCCTTAGGCTTTTTTTGGACCTAGCCACTAGACTCAGTCATTAAAGAGCTAATACAAGTACAATTTGAATATAAAAGCTATTCAGACACTTGGCTATTTACAGTTCTTTGAACTCCAAGATTGCCTGCCTACACTCTGTGCAAAATTAGTACTTCTCCTGAGTAGTAGAAAACCAGAAAGACAAACACAACAGTGTTACTGCAGCATTCAGACTCCAGACCAACAACCTCATCGCACAAGCTGTACTGGTAAAGCAAATCACACCAAAAAAACAACCAGAAAACCACAAAACTAATTTATGAAACTTTCTAGCCATTTTTAGACCGCCTATTAAGTATAAACTCCTGCATTAACTGAACTTCAGCTCCCCATCTGTTAAATCAGCGTGATGGCACTTTGCTGTCTCATGGGAAAGATATGAAAATAAACAGCTTAATACACCAATCTTCAGTGATGGGAGATAGATAACTTCCTTAGCTAAAACAAGAACACAGAATCACAGAATGCTAGGAATTGGAAAGGACCTCGAAAGATCATCTAGTCCAACCCCGTCAAATCAAGATCCCCTAGAGTAGGTCACACGGGAACATGTACAGGCAGGTTTTGAATGTCTCCAGAGAAGGAGACTCTGAAAACATGAACGGTTCCTTTGACTGGTGGTATTTTGACAGATATAATAAATGCTGTTGTATCTAAGAACTTCAAGGGATACAAATAAGTATTAAAAATAAAGTCTGCATCTTTTGGGAAATGGTATTACAGATGCCTAATATATTTCTTCACAGTTTGAAGAGCTGAAAAGTTGCATGTGGACAGCTCTGGCAGCAGTAATCCCTTTCTTTAACTGACTTCCTTTCATCTCATGTGTACTCACAGCACATCGTCCTGTGCAGCTGGAGGCTTTGTTACAGACAGAAGGACGCTGTTTAGTGTAGCCAGTGGTTATTGCCTAACTTACTTTTTTTAAAAAACATGAATTTGGAAAATTTCCCAGATAATACATCTGCCCCTATCGCTTGCACCTTGGAGTGTAAGACCAGCCAGGGAGGTAGTGAGGACAACTGCATTTATTAGCAATGAATAAACTGATCCATCTTTTGCTGGATTAGCAGTGGGAGATCCCAGACGCACTAAGAAGTATCTATCTGCTGACTGACATATACAAGCTGGCACACTTTTGTGTCAGAAATGTACACAGCTGCATGCACACTAAAGCTGTTCCATCTATAAAGCACAATTGCCAACTGCTTGTCTTCAGAGATGGGCAGTAAGAGAGGGTCTCAACAAGAAAACAAATGCAGAGTACAATTAAAGAATATTTTTCATTCTCTTAAGTGTCTCTTTTTTCTAAACTCTCCTCAATATGCTATAATTTTCCATGTACCATGTTTTGGAAGAAATGCTGGTGATCTACTTAAAAAAACCCCAAAAAACACCAAAACCCAAACAGATTTATATTTCTCAAAAACTTTGAATTGCAGAGAACCTGAATGACATGTTTTCAGGTACAAAAACCAGGCTGCTTTAACCTGATTGTCAGCCATTGCCAGCAGGTGTCTGGAGAAATTGCTGGGTGCGTTTTGGGTCCTAGGTCATCTCCCGACACTCAGATTGGTCAAAAAGAATGAATGCAATCCGAGTCAATTAAAAATTATATTTTTCAACAGCATTTTTAGCAATCAGGTGCAAGTATGAAGGGACCTCAGTCATCTCCATAAACCTTATTCAAGGCCTCAGCCTCAGCTTACGGAGCATAACTGAACCCCAGACTGAATCGGCAGCGCTTGGGTAGATAAGCATTGAGCTTGCTTGGCCACAAATAGACAGACACGTTAACAACCCTGGCAGCGCAACACCCTCTTCCCTAACACCTTCAGAGACTTCTGATGAGAAGGAAGAAATCCAGCGATACATAAAATTCTTTATCTGTCTGATTAAATTATTTAACTGTATCACAATGATGGGACTGACTGAAGCTCTGGTGAGAAAAACTGCAGCTCACAATTCCTTTGCTGTTTAGAACATCACAGGTGATAGCAGAAAAATCACATCAATGGTTTATTTTTTTTTTACTAAATATATGGTAAAGGGTGCAAACTCTGATGTCAGGAAAACCATCAAGCAATTTGGATGAGGAAAGGAGCCCGACAGCTGTTCCTACAGATTCCCGCACAGAGACAGGTTTTGCAAGTCAACATGGTGTCAATATTTAACTAACACATTATCACTTGTTATTATTATTTGACTATCAGTCAAGTAAGCACCTAGCAAGAAAAAAAATGGAAGCGATCTTTAGGGTTTTTTTCTTAAAAAAAATCAGGTACACTGAGTGATCATAGAGAGGCAAGAAGCGGATTTTTGTCTTAAAAATTGAATTTGCACACACATACTTGCAAGTACCAAGATATCTGTGCTCACATACCCTTGCCAGAACTACTTGTGGTGACCCAGAAGACAAGGGATGTCAGAGCTGAGTACTTTTCAAATCACCAATGTTCTTTTGCATGTCAACAATGGTGCGTAGTTGTCACAGCCCTTCTTACCTGTCCTAACAGATAAGGCTCAGCACCAGGTTAAGCTTATCACACGGTGCTGTGGCCTTCGCACCATCATCACACCAGCTAATGCTTGCTCTCACTGTTGCCTAGATTCCTCTTGGATTTTCTCATGCTGCTGTCCCTCTCATTACTTAAGATATACAGACACACATATACACCCTTTCATATATCTTTTTTTAAAAAACCACTTCAGTTCTGGTATTTCTTCTTTTAAACACTTAAACTTCATGCACACTAATGCAATATTTCACTTACAGACTTCTTCAACATGTCAAACATGCCACTAGGTTCATTTTCCCAAAAAGTACACTGACGATGTCTTTGCTTTATCCCAGAATTGAAGACATCAACAAATGATGAAAATCATAGAACATAGGATAACTGCTACAATCTGAAAAACTCCCCGTTCCAAAATAAACAACTAATCAAAAAAAAAGAGGAAGTAATACACAAAGGCCCAGAAACAGCAGACTTCTGTCAGATTGGCAGGCTTTTTTCTTTCCTTGACAAAACAAAAAGGACAACACAATTTTTCTGAACATGGAAGAGGGCGCTTTGAGTGCTCACGCAACCTCTGGAATCCTCAGAAAGATACTAAGCAAAACCCTCAAAAAGATACTTGAGAAAACATGCCTTAGTATTCACTGTAATTAATCAAAATGTTTTTATCCCAGAAGAATAAATAAAATCCATCTTATATTTACCAGTAGGAATGTGTCAAATATGCAGCAACATTCACCATCATGTATATCACTATGTCCAAAGGCAAGGAAATACAAATCCCACATGTCCAATAATGTTTTCCATAGGCTTTTTATGTGAGAATCGAAATAACCCATACACCACTAACAATCACATTATGCTCACAAATTAAAACCTACAGATTTTACCAAGAAAATTACATATCAGATAATAACAAACGGTAAAACAAATGCAGAATACAACTCTGAACTTCATAAGTAATTTAAAAACATTTACCTGTAAAGTAAGTATTGGTGGGGAGAGTGGAACTAGCAAATCTGTAATATCCATTTCCTGGGAAACGGATGCCTTTCATTACTTCTGTACTCAATGTAGCTAAAGATGAATCCATCCTTTCCACCTGATAGATGGGAGAAGGCCCATTAAGTTCTTCAGGTTCATTCCAATTTATCTTTATCGTTGTGCTGTTTATTCCTTCAAGACGAGGGGCACTAAGTTTTCTTGGAGCTGGGCAGAAAAAGCAAAATTATCTAGGTAGCGTTGTCCGTAATACTTTGGAAATTATTTATTGCACATAATTTTTGCAAAACATCCTGCTTCACTTTCTGATTGTGTTAAGAATAAACACAGATAGCCACAGAAGCTTAATCAGAAGGAAAAAACAAAAACAAAAACAAAAAAACACAAAAAAAAATATTCTTAAACTTTATAAGAACTTATTTTCAATTTCACAAGAAAAAACTTGGTTTATTTAGACTTTGGATAAATGGCCTTAGTATTACATCCAAAATAATTTTTTCATAATTTGAAACATCATCTTCATAAAAAGTATATTTGTATTCTTTCCTTGATTATCCTCTCATGCTATACTCACTGCAAGCACGTATTTGTATGACTTTCAGCACCAGCTTTGAGTGAAAGACCAAAAGAGAATCTGAGCAGTTAATTAGCTTTTGCTACACTTCAGCAGTATGGTACATGACAACATGAGTCTTTCAGCACTGAACTTATCTTCATCAACAGGAACAGAAGGTCTATCCATCCACAATACTGAAGGCCCATCAGGTTGTTTTCCTCATGGTGCCACGCAAGGCATTAGCATATGTTAGATAATTATTCAGTTCAAGAAAATAATCCTCTAATTTTTCTCCACCAGCACTGGTACACAGTAAGACTCCGTACAAGGTTGTTTCCACAAAAGTATCAGTGTAAGATGATTTTATGTTATAACAATGATCCTCCTACCATTAAAAGCAATACTCTGATACTCTTTTAAACATTCTGATAGCATTGGTCACTCTAGAGTTGAGTTACGAACAAAATTATTATTGTTTTTCTAATACTGTACAGTAAGCCACTGGAGGGCAGCATGACCTGTTTGGATAATGGCATGATGGCCATACAGGTGGGTAAGAATTGGACCATCACTGAAACAATAAAAGACATCATCTGGAGAAGTACAAGATCACTCTACTACCTATAGAATCTAAATCCTTCTTACTGCGTCTTATTATCTTCCACTTCTTTCGCTGATGTAGAAAAGGATTTAAAAACAGAAACTTCATTTGTACCCAGGAAGTGAAATACAATGACAACTTGCAAAAATAACTTGTTTCCACAATGACATAGTAAAGAGCAATAAATGCCTTTCAAGTACAATAAAACCTGAATTAAAATCTGGGCCTCTGAGATCTGACATATTATTTCACAGCACATGGAGTGAGTTCTTTAGAGAAGGAGAGATTGCTTCATTTAGAACAAATGAATAACATCCTTTTAAACATTTGCACATTTCCAAGATCATTAACATATTTTTCATTTTTCCTACTTGCCTGTAGCATGTTGCTATTTTTCTTTCTTTCTTTGCCCCCCCCTCCCCTCCCCGCCTAACTTGATAAATTTTCTTCTTGAAGAAAACAGGGAGTGGGGAAACTGGGAAACTGCCAATGGCACTATATGCTGTAAATTCCTGCTTAGGCATCATTTATGACTTCACAATCTAATTAGTATTTCACACTGTGGTAGAAATTTACAATGTCAAAATTGAAGTAATGCAGTGTGAGGTCATAAGCTTTCCTGCATAAGTAGTGCATAGCACTAATGAATTGTGGTATTAATGCACAAGTTTAAATAGAAAACATGGCTTAACAATCAAAACTTCACCTTCGAGGGAACTAGAGTATGTCAGCATTTTAAATGTTAACAAAAGTGTTTGAGCCCCCCAATTCAGCTTACCGATGGTAAAAGAGAAATGCTAAAATTCATTATTTCCAAGACACATACAGCTAACTAACACTCATAACAATAACTATATCTTCCTTTAAAGTCTAGTATTAATAAACGGCAGTTACTTGGACCATAATTATGGCATCTCTGATACCCAAACCTGAAGCTTTTATGGGGCTTATGCAATTAACTACTTAAATGCATCGTAACACTTGCTTCTCTGACAGGGAAGTATTGATTTTTTAATCATTTTCAAGTCTCCTCTAGCACAAATAAATGTACTACAGTTACAGTTAATGCACTGTGTACACGCATTAAACACTAGCATGACACAATTTATTATTTTGTGATAGATGGAATAGAAGCCTACTCTTTCAGAAAGTAACATCCTTGCTATAATATTAGCTTTTGAAATACAGTCTCGATGATGCTTTAAGAATTCTTGCATGTTAAGACAGTGGAACACTGTATATAATAGGTTACATAAGTTAATCAAAATACTTTAAAAAAAATTTAAAAAACCAACAGAAAAGCAAACTCTGCACAGAGTGAACTGAACTCAACAGACTGGACTGAAAATAAATATATAGCACTAGCCTAGCAGGATACTAAATGCTGAAATTAAAAATATACAAGACAAAAAGATACAGTATATATTTTCCTAAAGGTGTCACTGTGGTACCTGTAGCTACTTGTGAAAGATGAATCGACTATAATTTTACCTATTTGATTCTTTTTTTAGTCACATTCTGTTAAGACACATCTGTCAAAATAATGAGCATACTATATTTTAGTGGATACAAAGTCACATTTTGTGTATTTTAATTATGTAGTTTTACTGTCTTGCTATATAATACATATTTAATATATTATAAAGCTAAAACAGTATTTAAAAGCCCATGATTGCTGCATGCCATTGTGTAGCAGAGGGCACAAAAAAGACCAATAAAGACAGATGGTCCATACAGCTTACGTTGAAGTCATATATCTAAATATAGCTGTTGCTACACAGGTCGTTACAAATAAGCCTTTCCCATGTGTTTATGCACACACATGTACAGAAAAATGAAGTTGGTAAGTAAAGAGCAGTTAATTTTGTTTTGTTTGAAATAATATCATTTTAGTTTTAGGCTCAAAGACAGATGCCAGCATTTCGCTCTGAACAGATGGTAATTCCATCTAATAGTGCATCTCTGTATTAGTAAGGTCTGTTGTGTATACAAACAGTAATAAACACTAGGTAAGGATCAAAATAAATTTTAATTGTTGACATTAAATTCTGGCAGCCACTGTTCTAAGGATACAATACTCCTTTCTCAAGTCTGTCAGGTTTACTAATACAACTGCTAAAGCTTTTCCATACTTTGCCAGATTCTTGTCCCAGGAATAACATATTTACACTGTGGCTAAATTTAACAGGCTTACATATGTTTCAATAAGTACTGCTCAGCATACTGTAGCTAGATATTTGTGAACCTTTCCACAGAAGTCTTCAACTAGCCACTCTGAAAAGTTCAGGAAGAGAAGAGTACCAAAAATGTGTACAGTTTATAATTCCTGTTTAGCTGAATTCCAAATGCATACATACAAATTAAAACAGAAATGTTTGGCAAATCGAAGGACCAAAATAAATTTTATTATTTTTAACTTGGAGCTTATCTTGTAGGTGAAATTACATGCTTCACTACTGGTCATCCATTTCATTTTTGCTATAAGTTATTAGTCCAGAGGGCCCCAAGATTCTCTAGAACTTCTGTGCTTCACAATAAGTATCAGCTATTTCAACAGTAGATGAGCCAAGAAATAATACTTATGTCTTCTGACAATATTTTGATTTTTTAGAAGATTGTTTAGAGTCCATTTTGGACCCTTCCCGCAAAAAAAAAAAAATTAAAAATCCCACATAATGGACATCGAAAGAAAATTCAACAGCATGGATATGTTCCAATCTTATTTCTTTAAAAAATAGATGTAACACAAAGTATTTTTTTAAAATCATGAAAAATATATTGCTTCCACCATATGGGACAACCAACGACTCACCAACCGATTTAAGATGCAGCATATTGAGCTGACCATATGTTACAGTGCTGTTGAATGGCTGAGTGATTCATGCCCGTCACATTCTAGTATATCAATTAAAGCTCCTTGAAGTCTGCATGATTTGTGTCTCTGTTATTAAACCCTGCTAATTCATCCCACTTACACATCTGTTATAAATCTCTAGGAGTGCTGCATGATTCATGGCAATCTGTGAGCGTGGTACAGCAAATTCTTCTCCTTGTAATTAACAGTAAATTGTTTTACTGCCATGCAATGAATTTTTCAGTTATATTGCAAATGAACTCCTAAATGCACGGTTCTTTCCTAAGAACTGACTTATATTATTAGGCAATTAAAAAGTATTGCTTTGTACCAAAAGCTTTTAATCAAGAGGTATGCAACTTAAACATAGCTTAAAAACCTTGTGAATTTGACACAGAGGGAAAAGAAGAAACTGAGCTATTTTCCAAAGTATAATATGGGGCTGGTAGGGGAGGAGAAACAAATAACTTGAGTGCCTACGATTTTTTCTGAAACTCAAAGTGCAGTTTAACTACAGCTGAACACTTGGCAAGACAAGTTTGAGCAGATACTATTTATCTCAAAAATTACTTAAGTCATCTGTCATTATGAAATTTCTCAGATTACTTTACACTTTTCTAATTGTAAAACACTGTCTTTATTCTTGAAACAAATAATTGGATAATTAGCCAAGCTGAATCATCAGAGGATTCCAATGCTGCTCAAGTGTTCTTGTCAAAGGTGAGGCAAATTCATTTCAGCTTTGCCTCTGCAGCTTTCTGAAGAGGCTTTGATTTTTTTTCCTGCTACATTCTTGGCAGCAGCCTCAAATTCATGAGTCCATACATCAAGTCAGTAGTTTAACAACAAATGAAATTAAATTCAAAGAAGGGAAACTAATTGAAGGACAGCAACAAAAGTGTTTGGTAATGTGCTTTTTAATATGGCATGCCACATTTGCATGATAATTTTTCCTTTTTAGCATGGAGCAGAAAGTGACTAGCTTAATGAGGGATTATTCAAGACAGGAATGAACAAAATGCATTCATAACTAAGAACAAAGATTGTATTATGAAACGGAAACAGGCAACTGCCGAGAAGTAACTGGATGATTGGTTTATGCATTATGAATAAAAAGGTAGAAAAATATTTATATTAGTATTCACTAATGACTATATATACAAGATTGTTGTAATTAAAATTATAAATTAACATATTAAGAGTGCTTGTTTAATCACTTTGGGTCCTATTCACAATGAAGAGACTTATGTACATGCATGCAAAACAATCTGTGTTTTCAGGCCAGCAGCAAATGGCCTTCCTATTTCTCTTCTGCAACAAAGGAAAATGTACTTTACTTATTACCTGTTTAATGGCTATTTGTGATTTTAAAATTGAGGTATAGCATTTTGTAGAAAAGCAGCCTATGACAGGCATAAACAAATGCTGTATTGCCATGACAAATGGGCTGAGGCGTCTAGAAAAGGACTGTACCGGATCTTACTCATGAATGGAAAAAATGGACAAATTAGATTAAAAGGGTAATCAGAAAGAAAATGACATCAAGGAGTGTAAGACAGCCCAGAAAGCCCATCAGCATCATTAGCCCAGCAAACCTAGAGGCAACTCCAAAGCCACCAATACAACAGCTTGAGAAATCTGCCAAGAAGCCAGATGCAGCTGGTGCTGGAAGAATATCTTTTACAAATTAGCTTCTGAACTCTGTAATTGTCATCAAAAGCAAAGGATCAGGAATACAGTATGCTGTGGTAAGTGACAGTAATCACAAAGCCATACTTTGGTGTGTCTTAAAAATGCCTTCTAAAAGAAGTTTAAAAAAAAAATTAAGAAGGGCAAAGGAAAGACGAACTTAATTACAAGAAATAACCTCAGTCACAGGGTAGTTAATGAAACATAGCTGTATAGATTGTTTAAGGCACCCTTTGACTGTCTGATTTGAGAGGGGTAGCATAAGCAATTTTACTAGTCCATGCACTCACATGGCTAATTCCATACTGTTGAAATGTCAGAAATTACTTGGAATAAAAGAGTGCTATCTTGCCTGACTGAAAAATTTGGAAAGCATCCACAATTTTTCATGGTAGATATTGTACAGATTAATGCAAGTAATTCATAAATTTTCTCCCATTACCTCACATGCTTGCTTTGCTCTTCCATCCCAATACTGCATTCCCACATAACACTGATCTTCATACAGTTTTTACTGTTCTTGGAGCTGGTCACACGTAAGGTGTACCTGTGTAAGTTCTTTTATTTATCGCACTTACTCTTCTTCCTGGTTTCATATGCATTTGTGACAGCTTCCACTCAGCTTTTTTATTAAAAAAACTCGATTCTTAATCTTCCTCACACTCTCTCCTCATATTATTCTGACTAAAATATTTTCTTTTATTACTATTTCCAAATATCTTGGGTGTATATATATTGGTGAGGAGGAGATTTCTTACCAGTCTGATAGACAGAAGGACATATGCCTGATTTCAGTTTTCTTTCACACTCCTGCAAAGCTACTTATGAGACATCCCCAATACGGATGTCTATACTGAACCAGATTAGAAAGGATCTGTTTGTTGCGTTTGCTTCTAGATTATTTTAACCAATTTTAAGTACACTCCAAAAGACTTCTCACTCTCAGTAGACTTCCTGATTCTTCTGCTCCCTTGGATCTTACCCCTAATTTTTGCCCCTGACTGCAGAAGTCTCTTTTCTTTGTTATTTAAATCTTCTCTCAAAACCTCTTACTTTTCTTCCTCAGTACTTTTGTTCCAAATGGATTCATGCCCTTATTCTGCTCTTGTTTTTATCTGCTGTGTTACACTGCATAAGAAAAACCATGTTGCCAGAGAAAAAGGAGGATAGATTTTGAATAGTATCTTTTTTTTTACAGCAATTCTTCAAATTAACATAATGGATATGATAAAAAAATTAAAAATTGCTTGAGACTTGTAGTGGTAAATTTCAGAAGACATTGGCAATTCCAGAAGCAAGCCCCTTGCTAATATGCATCAGTTGGACGTGCCAAAATTGGAGTCATCAAGGTACCCATTGATTTAAATGCTCCATGTGATAAATCAGTATACTCTACACATGGAAAGAGT